CCTGAACCCCCCGCCGGCACACCCCCCACACCACCACAGGAACTGCTGCTGCGGATACCTGCATGTATTGACTAACATTATATAAATACTGAATTTGTCTATTCATCTTTAACCAATTTAATTTCAAATTTTGCTGATGAATGAGAAAATTTCTATGGATGGATTGTTTCTACTATCTTCAGAACGGCTACTAGTTTGGCATATATGTAGACCATTGTTTGGAGCATATAGGCTACTAATTATATTTGTTTTAATTCTGGACGAAGTTGCGGGCGAAAGCTAGTTTTACAATAATATAAATTTAATTACGTACCTGGTACCGACATCGGCCCCATCCCTATACTCTGCATGTTGGCAATGCTCATCCCACTCGGACCCATCATTGGTGAATTTAAACTGCAGAAAACAAACATTAAATACCCAAATAGGTGGTTAAAAATACGTTTAAATATTAAATGATGTACCTATGCACTGGTTCTCCAGGATCTTTGGGACTGTCGGGCGCATCCATTGAATTCTGCTGATCCTCTTTTATGTGTTGCAATATTTTATCTAGATCGTCGTCGATTTTTGAGTCGTCTAACTCCAATCGCACATTTTCCTACAAATATAGATTTATTAGTTGAGACGGTGTCGAACAACGTGAATTCCGTGACAATATAAGTAAAATTAGTGATTCGATTTACCTCCATTTTAGGTTTAAGATCAATACTGGCAAATATATCATCGTCCATGTTGTGATTGGTGCCGGTGCTGGTGACAGGGGGCGCCACCGTGTGCCCGCCAGATCCGCCCGATGACGTAGGCTCCGTAGGCGATACTAGATCCCCTATACAAAAATGTTAACATGTACAATCAGGGAATCTGGCGGTGATTGTAAAACATATTCGTTTGAACATATTGAAAACATTACAATTATCCCGTCGTTTACGCAACTCGCTACTGCGTAATTGGTTATTTATAAGTAACTAGCTGTTGCTCGCGACTTTGTCCGCGCGAAATTAAAAAAAACGGTGAAAGATTTTTTTTGAATTTTGAAGATTGAAGATTGAAGTCGGCGCATTAGTTGTTGAGTTATATCAATACATACAAAAATACATATTTTTCCTCTTTATCACAGTATAGATGGAGCTTGTATCATAAGGAAAAAGGCATTTCTTATCAAAGTGAAACACCACGAAAGGCCCTGACTGTACATTATAATTTTTTTTTCGCAGTAACATAGAATCATTTCAATTACCTCTAGATATGAGTGTACACATGTATGCGTCGTGTGAGAAAACATCCCTGCGTATGAGTTCACCGAACAGATGCACCAGATTCGCGAACTGCTGACGATTTCCCGGCGGAGCGTTTGGACTCTCGTCTGAAAAACAACAAAATATCTTTGTTTTTAATTGTCTCAACGAGAAGGGACTGTTATTATTTTATTTAGTACTGATGACGACTGAATGTTGATCATACCTAACACCGGTGCATCATTGTCCAGAAATCTCAGGAGAAGATTTTGAAAAATCGGCGGCCCATTGTACAGTCCGGTTCCCGAACTTATAGATTCTTTATCATCGGAACCTGAAATAAAGAAATATTTTAGAGCGTTAGGTTGAAATTTTAACAGTAACTTGTCCGTAGATTCCTACTATCATAATACTCTTTCAATCTTTAACTACACTAATATTATAAAGAGAATATATTTGTATTTTTGTATGTATTTGATTTACGTAAAAACTATGGGGCCAATTTTAAAAAAATCTGTCACAATTAGAAAGGTATTTTAAATGTGAGTAACATCTTACTAATATTGTAAATGCATAAGTTTAGATGGACGGATAGATGG